TTAAAAAAATGTGGAGTGATCGTACAAAAATCGCTCTTGAAAAAAATTATTTAGAAGTAAAAAATTCGGAGACACGTTTTTGTTGTTTATATGTAAAACTAGCTACTGTCAAAATTTGAGAGCAATCGAACAAATCCCCTTTGACTTGTAGCTCTTAAAGGTGATTCAGGCGCTCGCATTTAGAAGTCGTGAAAAATTCGACAATTAATTTTTTTTCAAAATTTTTGGTATAGTCTTATAGCCAGTCCTATAAGCTTTAATTTGATATGGGGTTTGGATATCTACAGTTTAAACCGGACGCGCTACATAGCTTGCACGCGAGACACCCCTGAAGGTGCACGGTAACTTTACTGTAGCAGATGGCTTTTCAAGTACCACTCTCGCTAGGAGCGGTCCTCTCAACTTCCCGTCCAAAAAACAATTTCCTTAATTTGTTTTCCTATGAAGAGAGTTTAGTACGCATGTTTCAGAAATAGTTTGGTTGTTTTCCAATTCTCTTATGCATGAAGATTTCAACTTTCGCGAATTCTCTGCGAAGGGAAGATCAGCTAAGGTGTTGCAAAAGCAAACTCAGTCAACCACCGTCATTGTGCGAGTTTTTCGAAACCTAACAAACCTCAATAAGCCAAATTTTTCTCAACTGATTTTGATAAATGGGTCACTAAAGTAGATACTGGATTTGGTATGAAAGTTATTCAAGAAGGCAGGGGAGTGTTATGGTTTTTTGAAAAATGGCAATTTTGGGTAATGATTTTGACCTCAAATATGACCTAACGTTTTCGTCAGGCCCCTCTCCGTCTAATCACTTGAGAACAAAGTTATATTTAGGAAGTAAAAGCTCCACTATAGTAGAGTCCATGGTCAAACTCGTTGGGCAGCAAAATTTACCAATGGAGTTTTATGACACTTTCAAAATGCCAAGTAGAAGGATGAAGTTTTTGTGCTCCACAAGCCACAAATGGGACTCCCCCTGAAACTCCAGAACAAACAATAAGAGAAGTGAGCCAAAGTGGCTTTTGAAATATATTATCACTCAACTTTTGTGCCAAGTTTCATTCGAATTGGTTGTCCACCACTTCTGGCCCCTGGAACACTTTCCCAGACAGGGACACGTAAGTCTTTTAGAATTCGTTATTGTAGAAACTCGGTAAAGGGCAAAAGAATATGTCCTTATCGTTTATTGCTTAGGTAAAACCCTGCCGAACAGCTTAGGAAATGTTAAGTATTTTATTACTACAAGGAATTAACACAACGACACCTCTGTTGTTAAGCAGTGTTGGCAGTTTTCATCTTACAGTCAGATACTTAGCGAGAACAAGAAAACAAATTAAATATAATTTTATGAACCCAGGCAAATTAACTTGATCTTAAGAGATTTATGTAAATTATGTGCATCACGCTGTTGTTTTACGCACTTTTCTTTAAATATCCTGACGCTCCTTCCATCTTTCCATTCATAGCCATATCATATTTTCATCTGCAAGATTTCTTTTTTGGGAGCAAGACGCTTACACTGAAGGTGTTGTTGAGAACGAAAACGCATATCAATTTCAAAAATGCCATATATCTATTATCTGACAGGGTAGGAAGGTCAATGCAAGAAATTCACTGATACGTATCAACGGGTTGCTATGTCACTGTAACGACAAAACGAATGGTACCCATGAAGATTTGAGCTGCTACAAAATATATAAACTTTAAAGGGTTTGCTTTTTCTGAAAGTTGTCCAATTTCTTCAGTAATAGACTTATTTTGGTGATTAAAGCTGCGAAAGCTTGCATATTGATGGGATTTGATATATTTTCTTAAGCCTGGAATGTAAGCCATCTTATAACAGAACGTGAACGGTTTATATAGAATAGAGATATGGGTGCTGTACCTAATCGACTACTTTTCACCTAAGATTAAGTATATGTATGAGGCAATGGATTGCTTCATGAGGATAATTCACCTCATATCTAAATTAATATTGTAAAAAAGGAAGAAACGACACATAAGACCTTCCAAATAGAAGAGAAACGAAAGAAATGGATGGAAAATTGAAAATTATATGAAACCATCTGAGCAAGTACATCACTTTGGATATAAATCAAGACGCGTTTTTTAATTAAATTTTTTGTGGCGTTGAGGAATCAAACTTGCACTTTCTCTTCTTCAACGCAAAAAAGTTATTGCACTACTTTAAGATCTAAAACAAAATAAAAAAGATCGTATCTGAAGAAGTAGAAATCCATCGTCTATATTAATCGTCAGAAACTTGCGACAAACATCATGAATCCTAAAACTTTTCAGCGATAGCAAAAAGGAGCAGGCCATACATAGCCGAGGTCCTGTGTACCACGACCTTCGATCTATGCAAATTAGCGGTGCAGGTACCAAAGCAGTGACTTTACAGGTCATCTTAAAGCGTTGGTTACCCTTCATCCTATGAAAACAAAGCGTAATTAATTCATAACTGACGAATTTTGAAAGTGACAGTCGTAAGATGCACAGCTAAGAGTTTGTTTATCGAACGCGATCTTTTCAAAGGATACTCAATTTTCCTGGGCAATAGATCGAAATGATTTTAGTTGTGAGCGTGTTGCTGTTTCAGCTTGTTCTGGTGGCAGTTGGTGACGCTGGTAACAAACTTGGTAAGTTGAAATACCCCTTAATGATGTCTCTGTTGTCGACTGCTTGGCCGTAAACACCTTTGTTGTTTCGAGCCTTGTGTTTTCGTGGACAAGCTAGTTTAAACTTGTTCAGTTTTTGAGAGACATACAAGAAGATCTTTGGAAAACTTCAAGAGTTTTATTTCTTAAAGCGGCTTAAGGATTTTCATTAAGTCCATTAAACCGTTATTTGCCTTGTAGCCTGGCCTGTCAAGGTCTTATTTCACAGTTCGTTAATCTCTGAGAAAATGTTTTTATCTTAAGGTTACGATAGCTTGGGCTGTTGGAGTCTTCCAGAAAATGATACGTCAAAAGTGATAAGTCTAGAGGGTCATCATAGCGGATTAGAAGGACTATACTGGGACAGGTGATAAACCCTAACCTACTTTTTTGAATCCTTCTATCAGGTGTCTCCATTGTTAGAGTGTTTTTGCTTCTTTGTGCTTCGTTACTGACGTTAAAGAAACATTCCACCCTTCCCAATAATTATATAAAAATAAAAACTTTCTTGAAATAACAATTTCCACGCCTACACGCATTTACCTTACTGATACATTTGTTACCTGTGATATCGAGAGAACGAAGCATGTTAGCAAGAGATCTCTTGCCGATATCCACACTTGCATTTCAAAAATGTCAATCGAGAAGTGACCAATCATGTCCTTTACAAAATGCTATAATTGCAACTTGGTTCTTTTTATTCATAACTGCCAGTAACACTGTCTCTAGGTTAAACGTTTAAAAATATTGTAAATGGATGTCATCGCAAATAGCTTGTCAACCAATAATGGGTTACAAATTTCTAACAGACATCATGTATGAAAATAAAAGAGTTCATTGAAATGTCATTCACATTACTAACAGCATTTTTTCAGTCTGCAAATATCAAGGATAAGACCTTAAGACAAAAGTGTCAAGAGTCTTTTGGAAAAGCTAATCGTTGGCAAAAGTTGATTAATTGATCACCTAGTTTTTTCACTCTTCTTTCTCCAGAGTTGATTCCGTCACAAAGTGTGCCGAAGTTGCGCAAGACAAAGAATACAGTTACTTTGCAATACGTAATGGCGGCGAGTGCCTAGCGGGTCCTAAGCTTCAAGAGAGTTTCAAAGAGCATGGAGAGTCGTTTGAATGTTTTGAAGGAGAAGGGGGCCACGAAGCTATCAACGTCTACAAAATAAGAGGTGTATGGGAACAATACGAAACAAAACAACAGCAACAACAATAGCTACTTCAAAAATAAATAAACATATGAGTAAATAATTACAATAGAAGTAAAATACACTGATTCTGTAGCGTCGAGCCTGCTTGGAAATTCTAAAATGTTCAGTTAAGAATAATAAGGAATCCTTAGGATCCAATAAGAGATATAAATTACATATTTTTCAAAGTAAATGCTAGTCTCATTGATTTTACCTTAAAAAAGAGCAGCGGAAGACCAGGAAATAACCAGTTGCTTTCATTGAGAAAATGATTATATTTGCCATAAAATTCTTTTTAGGGGGAAAAATACTCTAAGACTTGCTTGGCTCTGTTTATTTATTTATTTGTTTGTGCGTAATTCTGTCTTTAACAGGGAAAATTGCTTCAGCGGAGGACTTCGAGGGTGACATCCTTCTAACCAAATTGCAGAGAGCCATGACAAGTCCTTTCCACCAAGACGTCGCCGCTGCAGACGTGTGGGAGAAAGCGAGTTTTCTCTGGCCAGAAAGAACTGTACCCTATTACATTCCATCTGACCTCGGTGAGAACAGAACGGTAGAAAATTATATACTAGCTGAGGTGCGAATACCAATTCATAAAATAGCAGCATTGTTTTCCATGAAACGCGAATTGCATTCATTTCTCGACTTATGCTCAGTCCAGGCTTTAACATTTTCAATCATTTATATGCACAATGAAGATCTTTACAAATCCTGCGAGCCTATTCAGTGCACATAAATATTATTATACTTTAATAAAGTTTGAGGTCTCTTGGTAGTTTGGACCTCGACCTTTCAATGAGGCCAGTAAATGTCAACTTATTTAGTGCTCTATCCCAGATTGACGTCATATGATAACTTAATCCTTACAATTTTTATTAACTGGTGAACAGTTGGACATGCTTTGGCCGATAGATTTCACCATGGTATACGTCACTGGCTCGAACAGACCTGCATCAAGTTCGTACCAAAGAAAGCGGGCCACAGGGACTGGGTGGAGTTGTACAGGGAGAAGGATCCTCGAAGCCGCAGGTAAATAAAGCATTTTAAAGAGCTAGTTAGGTTCAAAGGAAACCTAGCTGTAGATTTGCAAACGTAAAGGTACTCAAGGAAATTTTCCCTTTGAACTATTAGGAGCAAAAAGTGACGA